AGTGATACACATGGTAATGTTTCTAGTACAGCATTAATTGCTAGTTTTGTTAATTGTGGTACTAGTCTTTTATATGGTACAGTTGTTTTTGCTGGTCTTGGATATTTATCACATCGTTTACGTACTGATGTACAAGAATTAACTCAAAGTAATACAGGTCTTGTATTCGTTATTTATCCAGAAATTTTAGCATCAATACATGGTGCACCATTTTTTTCCGTTCTTTTCTTTGTTATGCTTCTTACATTGGGACTTGATAGTGTATTTGCCGGTGCCGAAAGTGTATATACAGCAATATCTGATGAATTTCCAATATTTGCTCGTCGTCCTCGTTTATCACGTGCATTGGTTATATTAATTCCACTTATAGCATCAATACCAACATTAACACATGGTGGAAAACATATTGTTAATTTTATGGATTTTTTTGGTACGTCACCATCAATTATGTTTGTTGTTCTATGTGAACTTATTGCAACTGTATGGTCATATGGAATTGATAAATTTAGTAATAATGTTGAAATGATGACTGGACATAAACCAAGTATTTATTGGCGTATTACTTGTCGTTACATTGCACCATTAATTCTTTTTATTCTTTATGTATGTTCATTTATTCAATTTAATAGTCAAGAATTTTCTTCAATGGGTGATCAAAAAACAGTAAGAAATGTAAGTATTGCTGGATGGATAATGAGTACAATATCAACATTACCTATACCGTTATATGCAATTTGGTGGTTCTTATGTCGACGTGAAAGAACGAGTACTAAACAAACAACAAGAATAACAACAGTTGTTGTAGAAACAGTACCAATGAGAACAGCTGATGAATAACAACTATTTATTTAGAAAAAACATTATCATTTGACAATAAAAAAATTATAATCTCATAAAAATAAACTGGACAAAACAAATATGGCTATCTGTTTTATTAGACGATAGACAATGTTTTTTTTTGTAATATGTGTAGATTTATTGAAAGAAAATATTAGTATGTGTATTTAAAAAAAATATTTTTCATTTATCAATCATAATGGAAATAGTATGAAAAATAAGATTCACTAATGGGTATTGCATTAGAAAAAAAAATTGTCAAAAGAAAAATTGGCTAAAGTATTGATTCAATGCTAAAACCTATATTCTTATCTTTCTATATGAAAGGTTAGTGTATAAAACTGCATAAACTTTTTCCAGTCTACTGAAGGTTTTAAGAGAGAAAGTTATGATGTGAACAGCACTTTTTTTTCTCAGCATTGAAGATCTTTTTTGATCGATAAAAAAACATAGAACTATTGTACACTTTTTACAAGGAAAAGTCTTATCTTATATTTATCTAAAATGAATCACCAAATTCAACGATTAAAAATGTCAATCGATTAAATCTGTGGATCTTTGATGGTATAATGTGTTTTGAGGCGCATAATCTCATTATAATAAAGCTTTTTAATACTAATATTTCTTATGTTCAGGTATAGAAATAATTTAATTATATGATTATTCAGTTTCCTAAGATCTTACTGTGAATAATCGATGATTTTTTTTAATATTGTATTTCTAAATCATGGTTTTTTTTTAAAGAAATTTTGTAACAATATCTCAAAATTGATCAATCTAAGAGATCATTATTATTAAATTTTCTAACAGGCTGCTAATGAAAAAGTACTGTGTATTTCAAGCAAATAATATCTTGATTTTTTTCATCAAAAATATATGGTTTCAAACTTAGGATAAGAATTACTTATCGAAAATGTTTATATATTCCACATTATTTATTATCTCAATAGAAATTATTGATAGAAAGTCATCGCTTATCAATTCATCAATTTCGTCATACATTAGATTTTTTTTTATGTCAATGTCTTATGAAGCAACTCCCCCAGGTAATAAATCGTTTTTTTTTTTCGTAGAAACATACATGACTGTATGCAATTCACGACGTTGATTTCAAGCATCACTTTTCTGGCGATCCTTTATCCTTTCTAGATTTTAGATCATAAGTAGGAATCCTCTACTGGCAAGGATGCTTTTCATCAGAATCAATTTCTTAATCAGTCTATCATATGTCACTAGAATAAGTATGCATAGAAATACGTTTTTATGTTATTATAATCAATCATCCATCTAACACCTAATTTCACATCTTGAAAATGAAAACAAACACGTTAACATGACCATAAATATATTCCATAGACAATATAAATTAAAACAACATAACCATACTGATTATATAGCTCTGGACTCTGGTTGATCATTCCGATCATTGAAAATGGCGTATTATACGGCCTAAAATGGCTATAAAACGGTTTGTCATAAACAGCAGAAAACAAGGACCATTTTTTTGTCTGTTTTTCACCAGCTTTAAGACCATAGTACGTCATATCCGATTACGGAACGTGTTTTGGTGCAACTGAAACGGCACCGTTTTCGCCAAATAATGGTGACTCATATGGACATCGTTTTCTCCTCGTTTCATGTCTGAAATACATCCTTATTTGACACTTACGACTAGATTTAATTGCGTGTATCCATCTATACTTTACATAACTATGTAATACACGATGAGTTTTTTTATATCATCCTAATGCTAGGTTGTATTCGATCTTAAAAGAATATTTAGTCTATAAAAGTTACAAAAAACTAATAGAAAACATGAGGCAAAAGAAAATGAATGAAAAAAAGTACTCAATTGAATTGGATCAATGAAGTGAGTTAAAATAAAAAATAAACATGAATTGAAAGTAAAAGTCTTACTTGCATTGAATTAGCCAATAACACAATCTAAAATAGATTTTATGAATCGTTCGTCTGCTCTTGATAATTGACTTGAAATCAAATGAAAAAAAAATTCAGTTTAATCTAATTGCCATAGATCAAAATAACTGACAGATAAAACTATAAAAATGAAAGAAAATAATGATAAGAAACGGACTAAAACTCAAACTACTTCATGTGAGATATAACAGGCAAATTTTTTAATTCGGAAATAGCCGATGAAATCAGAATAGACTATGTTATAGTTCAATATGATAACAGTATTCATCCTGTAATAAAAGGAACTGTTTGAAATCTGAGCAATACCAAGTAGTTTAAGAAGCCCTATTATTTATTATAGGACAAAATCTTGTCAAACCTTATACACTCAAACAGCGATTGACGTAATTTTGATCAATAAATCAATTTTCTTAGTACTAGATTTCAGAAAGAAGCAATGATATTGGCATTTTCATCTATTTTATGATGCATAATCAAGAGATTGTTATTAATAAATGGAATAATGTTCGATAACGACGCAAAACAATCATCGTAACAGTCATCGTTTCCAGTGGTACGTAAACGATTAATATAAAAGAACACCATTTATCGCATTATTTTTAGTGTTTTACAATGTATCGTAAACGGGTATCGTAACATGAATTGTTTTCATGCCGTTTACCGACCGTTATATTCAATGTAAATAACTACGTAATTCTAATTATATAATCTTTAAATTATTATCATATATTCATAAGCATTTATTTTAATGCCTTTTAATTCAATTTAAAATACGAATCGATTTTTTTTTATAATGAAATTAATGTAATGATGGTAATTGAATCAAAAAATTCAAAATATACATTCAAGTCAAATTAACATCTACAGCCTAATTAAATGATTAGAATTATATAATTAGAATTATGTGATCAATATGGTTCATGCTATTTTAGTTTATGTTGTCTATTTAAAATGATTTATATTTTTTCTTGTCTATTATGTACGTTTATGATTATGTTAATATATTGTTTTCATTTGTAAGATTTGATATTAAATGCTAGATGAGTGTTTAATTATAACAACATTGAAAACCAAGTTGATGATGACTATTACGTATTTTTTCAATATTGAAAAGGTTGAAAATTCCTTGTATTACTTAAAATACAAAACAAAACATTCTTCATAGAATATTTTGTTATTTTTTTTTTACAGTCACTTCAAACTAGAGTTTAAAATACTAAACTATAAAGCAATGAAATGATTCATATATGGACTACAAATACTCATGCGACATTTATTTTTCATTTATTTCTCATATATTCACAAACTAATCATTGGTGTGCTATATTTAGCACTGTACATCACAATCAAAAGAATAGGACAAAAAAACATCCTATATGAATCCCAGTGCAAATGCGAGCGTACCGAATGATCTACAAATATACTCTGAATGTGATAGAAATTTCTATATTATAATATTAAAGTACGAATGAAGACTATTGTGTCGAGAAATAACTAGTGAATAAACGACGTCATTTGTATTTATGTACTTTAGAATACATAGAAAATTGTCATATATATATACATATATTAGTAACATAATCGAGGTAGAGTCCATATATCAGTTTGAATCAATTAAGATATGACAGCATACATACAAATTACGGAAAATATCAAAGATTAATACAATGAAGATAAATCTCCAAAATAAATGCGAACTTGAGTATAATTACATTATGCAAAACATACGATAAATTCTGTCTTCATTTGTTTGTTATGTAAAAAATAATTAACACTAAATGTGTACTTTTCATATTTAGTCTTGTTTTTTTTTCTTACGACTCATCTTAGCATTTTAAACTTAAGATTAAAATGCCTGGACAAGAACGTAATCCTATGAATATTTTATCTAGTAAGATATGACAAATTGATGAGTAATAGAAAGAATTTGATGAAAAACATCTTTGTCTGGAGGCTGTTCGTAATTACGATATAGAATCTAGAAAGTTCTATGAGTCATTAGAACAATAACATGCAGAATCATAGCAGTGAACTATACAGATTCATTTGTTTCTACAAAAAAAAACAATTTGTCACTTCGGATGATTTTTTTTGTTACTCTTGAATCTCGTAGTAGATTATTATGCGTAAAAATATTTGCTAGTGTTGCCAAGTGCTTAGCACTGGATAGTTTATTACTCATGATTACATATCTATATACAGAAAAAAAAAAACTTCATAGTTTATTAAACATTTTCGAAGAGTAAAAAACGTCGAAGAAAATCAGGCAAATCAAGCTTTTGTATGCCTCGATCAATACGTATTTTCATTGGTGAATTAAATATATGTGATCGAATTTGTTGACGTGCTATAGTTTTTAATGCACGTGGTGTTGTTGCACGTCGATAAATTTCTTCTTTTGTTTTATCATCAAGTTCTCGACATTCAGCTATATAACTTGGATGAAAAAAATAAGCTGCATCACAAAGTAATTCAATTAAATTTGGATTTGATTGAAAACGACGTAAAAAACGAAGAACACTATCTAGAAAAAAAAACCAAAAAGAATCAGTTTTCAATAATTAGAAAAATATAAATATATATACAAACCTCGTCCACGTGAAAATGATATTCGTGCACCATAGCCAATAAGTAAACGAATAATCCGCATGTCCAGTCGATGTTCATGAGCATGCTTAATATAAGCTACTAATGGTGTTCGAAAAGGAATATGTTGATGATGATGTTGTGGATTATTTGCAACAGATTGATTTGGTTGAGCATCATTTTCAAGAAGACATTTAACAATATTATATTGATCGCGAAGATATGAACATTGACAAGCAAGAATTAATGGTGTTATACATTCAACATCTTCGTTTGTTTCTTCATTTGTATCAGCACCAAATGCTAAAATAAATATAAGAAGTCTTATGAGAATAAAGAAAGACAAAAGAAAAACAATTAATTTATGTACCAATTAAAAGTCGAATTATTTCAATAACATCTTTTCGAATAGCATATTCCAATGGTGAATTACATAATTCTGGATGTTTATTAGCAAAACCTCCAAAAACTAATAATTGTTCAACAATATCATTTCGTTTAGATTCAATAGCTGTAACAAGAGCATTTCTTTGTCGAAATTTTCTTGTAACATAATTAACGGTAGCACCATAACGACATAATAAAATAACTGCACCTAAATTTCCTTCACGACATGCTTTTATTAATGGTGTTATACCACTACGTGAAAGAGCATTAGGATTAGCACCATGTTTAAGAATTAATTCTAATGAATTATAATTTTCATAAGATAATAAATTTATTTCATAACCAAGAAAATATTGTTGATTAACATTAGCACCAGCAAGAAGAAGTACTTGTGCACATTCAATATGATTATTTTCCAAACAAAGACTCAATGGTTCTGTCATTACATCATAATAAGGTGTAGTCAATGAACGAGTTTGACTACTACTGACTGCTATAAAAAAATTAACAAGAGAACCATGATCAATTAATATATGCATTATATCAGTAAAACCATATTTTGCAGCTAAATGTAATGGTGAATAACCGGCTTCATCTATCACATTAACATCTGCACCAAATTCTACAAGCAGTCGAACACATTCTATATCATTCTCAAATACAGCATAATGTAATGGTCGAAGACCATGACGAACACATCCATTAATATCTACAAGTTTACAACTAAAAGAAAAAAAAAACAATGAAATGATTGATTTTATTCAATAAAATAAAATAAAATAAAATACCTGAGAATGAGTTTAATATCATTTAATGGTGAATGTTGTACAATAGCATCTCGAAGAAGTAATAATAATGAATCGTCAACTCTATTTTTGTCAGTGACATCATCAGTCATTGTGTATATTTTCGGCAGAATGTAGTTGTATGTTGTCTTCTTTTTCTTACATCATCACATTTTTTCCTTCCAATATTTATATGTAATAATTCGCCCTAGCCTTTGACCCTGAATCTTTCTTTTCTGTTACAGATTGTAACATCATCTGATCTTTTCTTGTGCTTTCTTTGCGTCGATATTGTTGTATGTTGTACATATATAAGAAAAACCTGACAAAAATGTTATAGATGACGAAAAAGTGTACGCAATAACCGATGACTATGATTCCGGTGCTATTAATTATCTCTTATTGTCGCGTATTTTCTAATGTCTTGTGACAAATGGCGACGACGAATATACGCAAATAAATATGCACGTGTAGTACCTCTAACCTTTTCATCATCTTCTAGACTTTTTCCTTTTTTATTAATCATATCTTCTTGTTACTAAACAATACGTTTTAAATAAAATTGATCGTATAATAAGAAAGACAATTCATATTGTTCATTTTACTAAATAATCATTTATGTTCTCATTTATAATATATAACAAACAGAAGGACAAAACATCTAGACTATCATTTATTATCGGTCAAGCAAACTCACATATTGTGTGACCGACACACACACACACATTTGTGTACATTCGAGTAATGAGAAAAGAATTATGTCGGTCAGTTCGACCTCCTTATGTAGATATAGACAATGTAAATGATGAACGGACCATAATAAGGTCATAACCAAAAAAAAAATAAAAAGAATTGAACAAACAACATCATAACCTATAAAATAAATTAATTCTCATTGAAAAATCTTCGAAAATCAATCAATTGCATAGATAATATGCTTTTTCTTCTTTTTTTTTTTTTATTAAATTTTCAAATAAGATTAATGAGATTTAAATAACTTTTTAAAGAAAAGATTCTTTACTTGAAATAATCATTTTTTTCTCATTATTATTTTTCTAGTCATATTGACCCATTTCTCTCTCTCTTTTTTCTTTTTTAAATCTCAGTTATAGAGAAGAAGAAGAAGGTCATCACATCATGTTGTCGGTCATCCATTCGACAATTGCTTTCTATTCTCTTTTCTCTATATATGCACTCAGTGGTCATTTGATCATGAATACGATAGGCAAAAGAACAAATATACACGCATTTAAGGTCAATGAGCATACAACAACCAATGTCCGATGAGAATATTGTGCATGTATATGCTCATAAGAGAGCAAGAGAGAGAGAATAGGAGCATAACGATCAACAAGAAATAGGTCAAATTGACCTAGTCCATAATGACCGCAGACATGTCCACATATGCTTTGTATTGCTCTTTGTCCTAAATAATAAAGACGAGTGAACTAGGCCAACGAGAGAAAAAAAAATGAAAAAAAGAGAGAGAGAGAACTAAGCAAGTAAAATATAGAGAGAAAGAAAGGTCAGTTTCGTATCCGAGTCCAACGTGAACAGACGTATATCATCATTGTTATTATTATTCGACAAGAATAATGATGACTAGCATTCAGGTTTATTTCTTATTTATATAAATATTCAATCAAGAAAATATATTTTATAAATTATAATAATAGAAAATGCAATCGAATGATCTCCTACGTTCATCAACATCTCCATTTGTACGTTCACCTCATTTACTTAGTAATGATTTACAATCACAATTAAATATGCTTTATGCTCTAACACAACAACAAATATCATCCTCATCCTCATCCTCATCATCTGATTTAACATTAGAATCACAAATAAAACGTATTAAGTATGTTATTTTTGTTATTTTAATTTGATCATTTAATTTATTTTATTTTATTTTATAGAAAAACAATACCAATGCCCAATGAACCTCCTTCTCAAGTATCATTAATATCTGCAACAGATTCACGTACAAATTCAACAAGTGATCGTGAAATTGTTAAAGTTGTTACAACAGCTGGACCACAATGTATTGATAAAGAATTTTTAACACAATTACTATTACGTAAAGATGTTATACCAGCACGAAAACGTCGTGATTTTATTCCAAATGACATGAAAGATGATCATTATTGGGAAAGACGACGTAAAAATAATTTAGCTGCTAAACGTTCACGTGAAAAACGACGTCTCAATGATATTGTTTTAGGTATTAACAAAATTTTTTCTTTAAAAATTAATTCAATAAATATTTTTATTAAATAGAAACCAAAGTTGTTGAATTAACAAACGAAAATGAAGCATTAAAAGCTAAACTTAATTTAATGTTATCACGTTTAAATATGAAAGAAACAGAAATGGAAAGTTTATTTGAAGAAGAACAACGTCTTGGTCATATATGTCTTAGACCTGCAACATCAGCATCAACAATTATTTCTCAACGTACACTTATAAGTGATGATGATGATTATTCATCACGATCAACAAGACCAAAAAATTCTTCATCATCTGAAACACATGATGATGATGAAGTTGAATCAACAACATTTGATGATAATTCTTCCAATACACGTGTACAACATCCAATACTTTATAATCAATTACTTGGAAATAATAATAATGGTGCTGTTGATTTAAGTCGTACAGAAGTTAAAACAGGTAATTTATTAACAACAATTCCAAGTAAAAGTCCATCACCATTAACACCATCACCATCACCACCAAATGAATCATTATTACAAATTCTTGCTAATCAAATTCTTAAAACAAAACAACAAGATACAGTAACATCATCATCATCACGCTTATTAACAATAGCATCACCAACAGAATCAAAACCAACAATATCATCATTAAAAAGAAATTTTAATCAATTACAACAAGATGATGAACAACAACAACAACAACAAAAATGGGATGAAGCAGCAATGGCATTACTTTCATTAAATAAACCACCACCACCTCCACCATCACCTGTTGAACAACAACAAACAGCACTTCAATCTGTTTGTCAATCAGTTATTAATGGTTTATTACGTAAATCAAATCCTCCACGAGCTACAATTGATTATCATAGTAATAATCAACAACAAATACAAGGTGAAAATTTCCATCATCATCATCAAGATAATATTAATTCATTTAATCAATTAAAAACATTAATGAATTATTTTTCTACATCATCATCAAATAATTCATTTTCAATGCCACCATTACAACAATCATCAACTTATATTCCAGAACAAAATAATACAATTACAACTCATACACAATCACATGAACCACGAGGTGATATGATGCCTTTAAAATTACGTATGAAAATGTTGAATGCTAAAAGTTAAAGATATGAAGGAGTGAGTTGGAGGGATAGGACGAAACTCGCAACAGTGAAACGAACAGTGTTCGTCAATATGCGATGAGCCATACTTATTGTTTACTAGAAGAGATAATGGTGGCGAGGTGTGAGCAGCGACACACTCCGAATTAGGAGATTATTGTACAGAGTGAAGGCGCGCTGGACAGTGTGCGGTCGAAAGAACGCAGGCGAGGCCCTCTATTACAGTTCGGCGCTCACCGAGGCGACCTGCACAAATAATATTTGTTAACTATTAAACATCGACAAAGAATAAATGAGGAATTGTACATTGTAGTTGTTGTATATTAGCATTTCAAAATCTGTGCCATATAAAAACAAAAATAAAAAATAAAAAGTATAAAATAATTAGAAAAAAAACAAAAAAAAAAAAATAATCGTCTAGTTTGTCCTTGTCGAAAAATTGTCTACATTTATGTGTGTTTTTTTTTTGTTACGTCTTAGTCTTTCGTCCATTTTTGTTAATGTATGTGTGCTGCTTTTCTTTTTGCATGTGTGTGTATCTTATATTATGCATCGAACACTTTTTTCGAAATATTGTTAACATTTTTGTCTTTAATTTATCCAAATAAATTGCCAAATATTCTCAGAAAAAAAAGATTTTTATTATCTATGCAGACTAACAATGAATGGTAAAACAAAAATTTTATGAAATTATATAATCATACAATGAAATTCTAGCGTATAAATTGTTTTATTTTAGTATTATTGTGGAAAATTAATCAAATAATTAAAATTTTGTAATGTTTTCATCGAGATAAAAATAACTAATGAGATAAATCTGTTGATATTAACGAAGAATTGATTTCGATGAAATGGTTGACCGTACAAGAAACCGAAAGAAAAAATATCGAAACTAGAGAAATATTGAATAAGTAATGTCTTCAGGGTGGATGTGAGTGTAGATGAAAAGAAGACTAGAACTCACACCTACATGCCAAATGCACACTTTTGATGCCAAAAATAAAGAATGTCTTGTTAGTTGAAATTTTCGATATTTTCTCTTTTGGTCTTTCTATACCATACCAATGGAACTAAGTATTATACATAGAGATGTAAACCGATACATTGATCAGCGGAGCCGGTGATAAAAGTGTCAAGCTTTGGTGACGACGGCAGAAAATCTTCGATGAATTTCTTAAAAAACTTCTTAATTTCGAGAAATTTTGAAATGCAAAAAGAAAAATAACGATGGTAGAGAATTTATTGACAAGAAACTGGACAACAACATTTTCAGAAACTGATTTGGAAAGTCAAAAATTTTCAAAAATTAGATATCTATTTTTGTGTAGCGGTGATGGTGTCTCAGCCGATCGACTTACACCTCTAATTATTCAGTTTAAAATTTTTATCGTATCGCTTTTCTAGTCTTCATAATTAAGATGAAGTAAAACATAGTTGATGATTTTTGTTTTGTTGATATCTACTACAATATCACAATTGACCTGTTGATAGTCTTTATATTAAATCAAATCGTACTTGTTAATAAATATAGTATTCATGAACTTTGGATATAGTTTTAACATCTTAATCAATATTTAACTATTTGAATAATCATAACAAGAAGTTTGATTGATTTTCATGATTTGACAAATCTATAAAGCGGTATTTACTTGGCTACGTATATTTCAGAGTTATATTTTAAACCTAATCGAACTTTTCTATTAATAGAAAAAGAATTGAAACTCATCCTTGTTTCTATATTGAAAAATATTAGTTATAGTTTTAACTATTAAAAATACAGAAAATTGAGCAAAACAAAAATTATGATTATGTAATAAATAATTTCAATTAGATATTCATATTCTCGTGATGTAACATCCTGTTTTTTATTATATTAAAATTCTTGTTATGATCTTTTTCTGACTTTTGATATTTATTTCAGTTCTTTTTTATTTTCTGGTATCATTTATTCTAACCAAAAATATCAACGAAAAAAATCATTCGAATTATAGTTTTCTTTGTACTTTTAGACGATCGATAAGAAATGATGAACGATTAAGTGTCGTTTGAACAAGTGAATATTTCGTTAGACTCGGTGCTACTATTGGCCATAAATACCATTTGATAAGTAAAAAAATAAGACCGTAATAAATTATACATTTCAAACTACCGACAATAAATTGTAAAAAAAATATCCAATATGGATATTCAGGTTCTTGACCAAAAACTTGATAGTATCGAGCAGAACGAGGTCGACGTCGACTACATTAAGTAAGTTCTACTACTAGATAGTTTAACATTAAAAAAAGCAAACATACCAAATATTAAACTGCCACTTTCTCATTCAATTCTATGCTTTAGAAATTTCTTTAAATGTTCTGCATTATAACATTCATCTTTTGTCGACAATTGCATCGCGTTAGAAGAAATGCAAATTTAAAGAAAAAAAAAAAGAAAACCATTTATTTTGTATTCTGTCATGCTTTCAGATGAAAAAAAAATCAAACTTCTTTTTTTTTTGTTCTTTAAGTATATTCTTCTATAAGACATTTTATTGAGCACAATTTTTAAAGCATCTTAAAGCCGAAATTCAACAACTTCAAAGGTTATTCATTTTAGTCAACATCGAGTCATAATATTATATATAAAATATGAATGATAAAAAGCAAGAACATTGCCTTTCACTTTCTTTTTTTTTTTAACTTCATGTTGAATGGACTCAAATAGCCATTCGAACGATAAGATTACATAAATGGCCAGGCTTTTCATTCGAATATATACGTATATAAAAATGGATGATCGATGTTCATAGCTCATCCAAAATGACAGTCGACCGCTGTTGATCGTTTCTCGGTATTTTTTTTCTCTCTTATGATGAGTACGGGCAAAAGTCAGTTAGTATTTATCGTGTTCGCTTGTTCATCGAACCATATCACTCATCCATCTCACCAAACGTGTATTACTCGCCATTTTTCCAACATCATTTAATAACGAAAGAGGACGATTCATTGTTATACATAGTAGAAATCAAAACGGTCAACTATGTTTTCAAATCCCGTCTATAACTTTCCACCACAATATAATGAAAAGGTATTAACACAAAATTTGGCCGGTCTATCTTTGAATCCTGCTCAAACGAATCAAGATCCACAACAACGACAAAATGTTGATTTTGGAACATTTCAATTTCCACAACCACAACAACATATGCCAATTGATATTGGAGGATATATTCCACCAACAGTTGATGAAGGAAATCTGAAATGGTTAGCACCAGATGATGTTAATGTTTCATATCAACGTGGATCTACTGTTGTACGTCAATATAATAATTCAATGATTGATGATTATTATAAAAAATTTACTCGTCCAATTACGGATTATGTTCCTATACCAACAAATGGTCAACCGACTTATGTTTATCAAAATCTCGATGGAAAACAAGCAGCAGCTGGAACAGTACCGATTCAACAACCTCTTAACTCAGGTAAAAAACAAGATGACTTAAGAGGAAAGACTCTCCCTCACAATATGTTCTCAAATTTGATCAGTGTGTAGAATATTACAATACATTTTTGGTTGGATAAGAATTACGAGATTTACAGAACTTGTTTATTTGATGTCAGCCGAAAAAGTAATCCTTACTAAATTCTCTATTCTTTCAATGCCTTCCAGGAAAATTTTGTTTATGATAACTTATTCACTGGGTCTACCTCTTATGGGATGACCTATTTTCTTTTAGAAGCAATGTCCTCTTCCTGAAGTTGGAGACTCCTCCAACATATGTCTGAGGATGATGTCCAGCGTACCATGAAAAATAGAGATTTTGTAAAACGTTTAATTTCATCTTTTAGTATCGTTTGTTTTCAACGTAAGAAATGCAAAAAAGACTCAAAATATGTGAATTTTAGAATTAAAATTTGTTTTTCTTACAGAATTACAACAGATCGTTTTGTTATCAACAGTACATATAAGTCGGAAATGTGAGTTGTGTACAATGTTAAAATTAAGAGGATCGGTTGTAACTCTGTAAGGAAGAAACAAATTTTAATTCTAAAACTTAGATATCTTCAGTAATTTTTGCATGCTCTAATTTATATCAAAGTTACGAGACTGATCAATTTTTTTAATATTTCTTCAACATAGCCTCCAATTTTCTTGTAATTTGGAGATAATATACCTGGCGCGTAGGCACTTGTACATACAAAGTTTCATTGCAAACTAATAATCCTAAAAGCGTAGAATATAAAGTTTCACAAAACGTCTATTTCTTCATGGTATGCTGAACTACATTTTCAGACACATCTTGGTGGAGCTTTCAACTTCAGAAAAACGGCATTCCTTCTAAAAGTAAAATATGTGACTCCATAGATGTAAATCCAACGAACAAGTTTTCATATACAAAAATTTCCCGGAAGATATTTTAAGAGTAGGAAATTTGGTAACGATTACTTTTACTGCTGATATCAAATAAGCAAATTTTGTAAATCTTATAACTCCTATTAGAGCTTACCCAACTAAAAAGATATTGTAAAATTCTACAAGCTGATCAAACTTGAGGACATGTTGTGAGGGGGGGGGGGAAGGGGGATGATCCCGCAAGATATTTTTGTTTTTCTGGAAATGATAATATACTTTGGTTTATAGGCGAACCATCAAATGATGCAAATTATACTGTACCTGTTAATGTTTCACAATCAAATACAGATGGAACTGAAGAAAAAAAACATAAGAAAAAACATAAAAAACGTTCATCAAAACATGGTCATGGCGAAAGTAGCAAACATGGCGATAGTGAAAGAGTAACAGAGGAACGGTAAAATTCATTTATTTTGTTTTTCTCTCCAATATTTTCCTACATTTGATATTTTACATTCGTAGACGAAGTGGAACAACACATAATGTTGATTATCAACAAACACCGTCTGCTGCCTCAACTGGTAATGTTTATCATCAACAACAAGTGATGGCAGCTACTCCTGACAAACAAATGTAAGAAGAAAATTTTCAAATAGAAAAAAAAAAACAAGAATCTTCATTTTTTTCTTCTATTCAAAAGAATTGATGGTAGTGCTCAAGTGGCTATGAGAGATGATTCCAATCCAGTTGTCTTTTTTGATATTGAAATTGATGGTGATGCACGGGGTCGTCTTGTTATGGAACTTTTTCGTCATGTATTACCACGTACAGCACAAAATTTTCTTGCGTTATGTTTAAATGAACATGGTTTTGGTTATCGTCTATCATATTTTCATCGAATTATTCCAGGTTTTATGGCTCAAGGTGGTGATTTTGAAAAATCGAATGGTACAGGTGGTTATTCAATTTATGGTGAAAAATTTGATGATGAAGGTTTTCCATATTTACATGATCGTGTTGGTCTTTTATCAATGGCAAATAGTGGTCCAAATACAAATGGAAGTCAATTCTTTTTAACATTTGTTCCATGTCCACATTTAGATAGAAAACATGTTGTATTTGGACAAGTTTTACAAGGTTTTCATATATTGAAAGATCTTGAACTGAGTGGATCAGATAGTGGTGATGTATCACGAGAAGTTAAAATATCAAATAGTGGTCAACTTCAATAATTAAAATAAACATAACAAATTTAAATATGACCAAGAAATATATTTATCTTGGATATTTAAAGTTATAAAACTGACAAGAAAGATTTTTTTGTATAAAATACACAAGTCTTTCGTAGTTATTAGTAAAATATAATAAAAAAAAAAGACATCTGTTTTTTGTCTCATAGATTAAATAAATACAATAATGGTAATGTTTTGATGAAAAATGATAAGATTTAAAACGAAACATTTTATTGAATTTTTTTTCGATAGTAAAAATCATTTTAAATTTATGAAGACTTAAATGAAGATTTCGACTTTTAATTAGTGAACATAAAAACCTCTCAACAAAAAATCAAACATATTTGTTTAGCAATTATTAAAGATCGAATTGACTGAAGTTTGTTTTTATTTCCAAAAGGCAAATCTAAAGAATAAACTACTTTTCCCGTACAACGGAACACATTCAACTATTCGTCGTCAATCGAAGTGATATTCTGCTCATAAGTAGTACCCACGAGAGAACTAACTGAATTGATACTCGTCGTTCCAGCTCGTATAGAATTCAAAAAGGAGGTCTCAATAAGATTAGAAAAGTCATAAAAGGGTTGATAGTTATCGGTCTCTGGAGTCGACTGATGACTGTTTTACTGAATTTTTGATCCAGCTGTAGGTATTTACATCTGAAACTCTATCCATAAACAAGTCAAATGACTAGTAGAATATTCTCTTCTCGAGATATTAAATTTCCAAAAAAATGATTATGTACCACATAAATCGATTTGACTTGAAAATTCAGTATCTCGACAAAGGAACATTCTTTTCAGCTGAAACTTTCACTATTTTCTAATAGCCATTTGACCTACTTATAGGTAAAATTTCAGATGAAAATTCCTTCCTTTTGATTATTCCATGAATACTTTATCATAAGTCGAAAATCCGACAAAATGGTAATAACTCTACTAGCAAGATGTATAGAAATAAGTTTTTTTTTTAATTTTCTCTACACTCGCTCAGTACAACTTATGAGCAAAGTATCACTTCGACCAGCAATTAATAATTAAATATGTTTCCTCATTAGTATAAAAGCTTCTGTATGATGCAAAACATCAGCCATTATTGTACATTCTACATCATGTTTGAAAACATATTTCTATTTTGAATTTCGTTCGTTTAAATAAAAATAAAGAAATGATTCTACAATCGATCCGATATTTTCTTATTAAAAAAAATAGTTTCTAACTCATTTCCTAAGATTTTTCCATTGCATGTTATAATTACATTCAAGTCATTTGTTTACTTTCTTTTTTCATAAACTAATGAATTGTTTTCGTAAAACTGGGGCCTCAGAAATAACCTATCAAAAAAAACCAAATAGAAAGCTTTCACCATATTTCGACCGAATGACACTTTCCAGCAAAGATCAACAATAAATTTTAGGTTTCTATAAAATTATTCAAATTACAATTTTCTTAATTCTCGTAAATAATTTATTTGAAATTTTTGAGTTTTCACTAGTCAATCTGACTTCGCCGAGGCTTCACATGATCTTCAGATACATCACAACAAAACTTATCAGATCTCTACGTTTCTTATCATTAATTACTGATGAAAGTATCGAAAAAAAAAGGCAACTTTTGCAATGAAGTACTCATGTCGCACGACCGCCGCTATGTCGCGATACTCATAAGAATTGACGGTTCATCGGTAGTAGATTGCCAGTCAGAGAACAATCATCCGTATGCCGCTACCAACGGCTTTTATTCTGCTCGAATCACATGGGAGATTGTACTAGATCCCAAGTGTGCCAATGAAATGATGATTTATGAATAAATGCTTGGAATTTTTCTCTATCATCAGGAAAACAAATTAGCTAATTTCATCAAAATACGGTGGAACTATTCAGTTTTTTATCTAGCGTAAGGACCAAGGAAGCGCCATCTCTCTGAAGATCAAATTGACTCTCCCGAAGTTTGTAGTTTTTCCGTGGACTATGTATCTGTGCTCTCAAAAAATTGGTGTTCGCCCTCCTAAAGTTTTACATCGCCTCTCTGGAAGAGTAAAATCTGGATAAAATACTAGACCTGTTCCATTATTTTTTTGTAGGTTATTTCACTCAGATCCGGTATGTTGAAATTCCATACAACGTAAATTTCTTTGAGTATAAGCATCAGAATATTCTCTATATTGATTAAGATTATAAAATTAATAAAATACTACTTTATTTGTCAACATTTCCTGCATCTTTTATTTCATATACGACTCATTACAAGTCTATTGTTTTTTTGATAATACTGAATGATTCTATTGATCAATTGATCATTCATAATGCCTATTTCCATCTGTTCAGAAGAAAACAGCGATAATAAAAAAAAGAAATTTGATATTTCAACATAGAAGTCATTATTTTAAGATTTATTTTAATTAATTAATAAAATTTAAATTCGATTTCGTTTATCTAACATTTCCATATTAAAGTAAACATTCTGTTTCTAAAAAATGGACATCGTCATCGACAATGTCATTATACATACTCAAGAGATCTGGTCCTACTATTCTTTTCATTTATTCTCTTGAGAATCAAATAACGACAAGCACAAATTTCCATTTTATTTGTACAATACAACAAGAAGAAAAAAAAACGAGCATACATATATAAATTAACATATGAAGTCTATTCATCCGGATATATAAAAAAGAAAAGGAAAACAAAACAAAACTATCTTTTCTGTTTTAATGATTGATTCCATAAATCAAATAATTGATTTTCTTGTCTTAAACTCGAATAATCATGATCATCAATTGTTTGATAAATATGTTTTAAATTTGTTGTTGATAATGATCTATCCATTTGACTACTATCTGTTGAATTTGACGTATTTTCATGATGATATGGACATATTATTGAATGTGTATGATATATAGGATAATGTAAATTTGAATTTTTTGAATAATATGAAAGATTTTTTTCATTTGTTTTTTTTAAATTATATTTATTTATAGAAATACATAAATAAAAACATATTAATATTAATATAAATGTTATTAAACCACCAATACATGAACCAATTAACATAATAAATAAATTAATATCATAAGAATTATTTTTTTCAAATTTTATTTCATTTGACATAAGTATAATAAGTTTATCTGTTAAATATACTCGACAATATTTATCACGTGTATATTTATATAATAAAATAAGACATATATGATATTGTTTATTTGATTGTATATGATTAGTTAAAAAAATTTCTGTTTGATTTGATAAAAGTTTTGGTGAAAGATAAAATGGTTCCGATATACTTATTTGTATATATTCAATTAAATTATCATTATCAATAATTGACCATTGAATAAAAAGACCATATTGAAATGATATTTGAACATATGAAATATTAAAATTTTGAATTTTTGGATTTGTTATTATTGAACATTGAAAATCAGATGAAAGAAATGATATAGAAGAATTATTTTTTAAACATGTCCATGTTGTTGTATTAATTTTTTTATTTTGATATAATATTAAATTTTTTAACCATTCTAAATGACAATTACAATCAAGTGGATTATATTGAAGATTTAAATAATTTAATTTTTGAAATAAAAAATTTTTTTCAATTGTTTTTATTTGATTATAACTTAAATCAAGATATAATAATGATAAAGATGTATTTACTATATCAATTTGTTTTATATAATTATTATTTAATGATAATTTTAATAAATTTTTTGGTATATCATTTAAATTTAATTTTAATAAATAATTATAATTTAAATTAATATTTATTATATTATCATTTAATAATGAAAAATTAAATGATATTAAATAATTTGAACTTAAATTTAAATCTTCTAAATTTTTATTTGTTTGTGAATTAATTAAAAATTCATTTAAATTATTTTTTGTTAAATTTAATGTTATTAATTGTGAATTATTGATTAAAATAATTGATGAAATAAAATTTTTAGCTAAATTAAGATGTATATATGATGTTGATAAATAAATTTTATTTGATATTTGATTATTTTCTAAATCTAATTGATAAATATTTAATAAATTTGGTATTTGTTTTAATTGACATGAACGTAATGAAAGTATTTCAAGTTTAGTCATATTAATAAAAATATTTTCAAGATTAATTTGACTTAAATTAAATTTATTTAATTTAATTATACGTAAATTTTTTAATGGATAACGTGTTAAAAATTCTAATGAATTAATTTTATTATCACCTGTTAAAATTAATTCTTCTAAATAATTTCCTAATAAACGTAATAACTCATTATCAATAAATGATATTGAATTATTCTCTAAATTAATTCGACGTATTGTTTTTATATTATCAAATGATGAACGTGTTAAATTTTTAATATTATTATTTGTTAATATAAGTTCATCATATGGAAATGAACGTTTAAATAATGGAATTTCATTAAGAGTTTTTTCGTCGCATTTTATATATGATTCACCATTTGTTAATATTCCACAATGACAACGTGATAAATAATTATCGGTTAATGGACAAGATTTTACTTGATTTATAAGAATAAATAAAATAATGAATAAAAACATCTGAAAGAAAAAATATATATATATATATGTATAGACTTAATTCGAGACAGTAGACGATTAATATTCTAGAAAAAAAATTCAAGACTATCTAACTATTGACTTATCTCTCTTGAGCTTAGCCATGTGTTCCATAATTTCTTCGTTTTCAATTGTATGTGAACAAAAGAGAAAGAGAAGCAAATGAAAATGAGAGTCGATTATCTCTGTCAATAGCTGATTGATATTCTTTATACAATTTTCAACAAATAAGTATCCAAAAATATCAAGACTAACAGTTGAGCAAAACTTTTCTGACTTATTTATGTAATAGAAAAAAAAAATGATGATAAGAATCAATGCTCATATAGATATATAATGATCAAAAACAATCATCTATGACGTAAGTGAATAAATAAGCAAGAGATAGGCTACAGGAAACATATATATATATATATATGCTCATCTTTATCAAATTTCGAGAGCTGTTGATAATATATTAGTGACGTGTATGGCGCATGTCTCATCGCTGTAGGCAGTCTAGTTCATTGACTCTCTTATCCCTGCTGTGTTAAGGAAAAAAAAAGACCCTAAAAAATCAATTGTCACTTCATTTCATGATGATAATGACCAAAAAAACATTAGATAGTTTGATAGAATTGAAATGACAGGAAAAGAAATTATTGTCACTCATCACAAAAAGCAACAATTTTTTTTTCTAGACAGCAATAAACCGGATGATAGACATACACATCCGTACATATATGTGTAGAATCTTATTGTGAGCGAATAAGTTCATCAATACATACCCATGTTGCTTGTGTAATCTTACTTGACACTCCGCCTATTTCGACAAGATACAAAGAGCAAAAAAAAAGATAGTCAAAAATGTATGGTGATGTAACAAATCGGACACGCATGTAGAATCAACAAAAAAAAAAAAAAAACTGTAAGAATGATAGAAATCGAGAAGGAGGAAGAACAACAATAACAATAATATTGCGTGACTTACTATGAGAAAGATCATCTATTTGTTTTGTACAATGCATGTATAACGAACATTGTCTTTATCTCAAGAGAAAAAGAAAATACAAGAAAAACGACTAATCAAATGAATGTTCATTTTTTTTTCTTCTTGTATTCACTTAATTGAAAAATATTAGTATACTATAAATTAAATATGTATGTGAATGAACAAACGACGATGATGAGAGAGAGAAAAAAAAAGAAAAGAAAAAGCTTTAAATGAATTAAGAGCTTCAACCATGTCGATATATACCACTCAACTTAAAACATCGATCACAAAAAACAAAAAAAAAAGAAAAACGATTATCGGCTTCCCGTGTCGGCCATAAAGCACTGAGAAGAATAAAAGAATCAACACCTGTTTGAATAAGAAAATGTAAAAGGTGCAAAGTGGCTGATGGTCGATGCTCTAATCTTCAAATAATTCTTGTAACGCAATTCACTCTAATGATAAGTGGTTTCATTTCAATTCCTTTACTGAACAGGTGAAACCATTTGTTTTTCTTTTTTTTTTTTTTGTATTATCAATCTTATTTTGAAAAGAGTGAATGTACCAAAAGATTTATTGTTACTACAAATATATATATATATATATATATATATATGCAAATAGGCGAACCATGAAATGCTCCGTTATTGATAAGATGAGAGTGGACATACATATACTCATCATTATACTAATCAAGCATACACATACTCTTAACCTAGGTAACACTCTACAATTGAATTAGAAATGTCTTCGATATGGATGAATTGACAGTTATTGTCTATAGAAAAGGATGATGATGATGATGATGATCGATTCATAGTAATTTGTGCAAGTGGCTTTTTTTTCTTTTCAAATATATACATTGGCATATGGCTGACGTGTAATAGAAAAAAAAAATCAAAATAAATCAATGATCAATGGTAGACAGAATCAACAAATAAACGTATTGGTATGTGAATATGTTTGATAGGAATATGAGCTTAAAAGCAAACAATCAACATTATGAGAATGACATAGACATATAAACAGACAGAAGAAAGAAAGAAAAGAAGATTTTAAAATTTCAACAATATAATAAGGATATTAGCGGTGATGGAAGAAAGGTTAAATGAATTGAACTAAGCTCAAACGTTGACAGTATGTTCATAGATTTTGTCAGCTATGTACACATCCTGCTGTCGTGTCAACGGATCAGATCTGATAACAGACAAATATAATATCGTCAACAAGTGAATTTATTCATTCACATATTGAAGAGTTGAAATCTGATAGGAGTATAAAAAAAAATAGTTTTATAGATTAACAATCAAAAAAAAACAGGAAAATGTTCTCAAGAAGAATTTATATATATTGATTAATTCTCGTTACATAGATTTGATTGCTCTTCATAGAATCAATCATTGATTTAAATCAAACTAGTTTAGTGCCTTAAGGATGATAAAATAATTGGTAAAAACTTATTCTACACAGTAAATACTTGATTAGACTTCCAACGGGCAAGATGACATTGAACAAGGCGCAACGATGTATGTCAAATGTAGACGGAAGAAAAGACAACAGTTAATGTTTGTCAGATTTTATACAATCAGCCCGAATTTATTCGTCGATAAAAAAAAGAAAAAGAAGAATTTGATGAAAACGCACTATCGGAGTCCCATGGTTCTCTAGTATTCTAATCGATTAATAATGCGCGAGTTTTTCATGCAAATATGATTAGATGACGATATTACAACTATGACTATTTCTTGCTTTTGGTTTTTTTTTTTCTATTCTCGCTGCTTATTCCTGTTCAGTTAATCAAGAAAACGAAGAAGAAAATAGAAAGACATCGACATTCTTCTTTTGCTCTTGTTCCCGTTAGTCTCTTTGGGTATAAGAAAAACATTAACATCATACAAATGCAAGTCGAAATTAACACTCTCACTAGTTTATTCATTTTTTCTCTCTCTTCTTCATTGTCATATATATCAAGCTTTCTTCTCGATTTCTTTAGGGATCTCATATACTCGCACATAGATATAATCTATGTTTGTCAACTGAAGGCCATATTCAGTCACGACTAATCCAACGGTTTCAATTTTGTACCATTCAGTTATAATGATATAGACAAAAAGAAAAAAGAGTAAAAATGTTTGCACGGTTGATTGAAGTTCAATGATTAAACTCAAACGGACTGTTCATTCATATGATGACTAATAATGAGCATATGACCGTACATATATATATATATATATATCGTATCCAATGTGCATATATAAATATATATATATATATAGTCTCTTTGATATGGAAATGTGCGTGCTGGTGTTATCGCATTTCGATGTTTTTAATTGTATAATGTTTTAGTAATGATTTGAGGCGGTGAGCGTAAACTATGTATATTCATTGATGTTATTAAAAACAAAAAAAAAGTTAATCAACAATTGTTTTCCCATTATATACGATAAAATGCATTAGACAGCCGTCTGTCCTTTTTATATTCGACTTCTGTCACATCCTTGTCGAGAGTTATCTGTCAGAAACTCATCCACGCTCATCGTTTAACAATCATATATCTATACACGCATATAGTTTGACCTTCAAATGAAGAATTGTACTAATCTACGTATCCATTCGACTTGAACCTATTCATTATATTAAATAGAGAAGTTTGCATGCAATATTTATCATTTTATTAAGAAGAGAACATCTGAACTGTTCAATCATATCGATAAATGTACATATGGAAAGCAACAGATTAATGTCAAAATAAAATATTGATTTGACAAAAATTAAACTTTCATTAGAACTTTGTATCTCTTTGAAAGACATTCAATTTTTAAAAAAATCAAATACATTTATTTGATAGATTTCATCATATTACATAAAATAAATGGATTTAATAATTATATTCTTAAATACGAAATAGTTAATTAGAAAATAATTAATTTCGCATTTCAAGAAAGAAATCTTCTTATTATAAATATTCAATCAATTAGATCATTGTTACATAAACGATAAATGTCATTATTAGTTAATATTATCCTATTATCCTTCAGAGCTCATCCAATATTCGCTAATACAATAAAGATAATTACACATATTCTGAGACATATGATGTCATACAGATTAGAAAAGAAGTATTGGTTTGATAAAAAAAAGTTTTTTTTTTTCTGCCTTATTCTTGAATCAAACATTTATTATTGTAAGTTATTTTATATCAAATGATTGCTTATAGTTCTACTACAGATAATAAATGGCGAGAAGAACATAGCTATTTATAAATAAGATGATAAATATCGACGACAACAGGCGTATATATGATTCACAAATGTCCGTAATGAAAGAGTAACGGGACTATTTTTTTTTGTTTTGGTTTTGCCACATCATTGCGTCTGTTATTTCTTTATATATATATATATTACTTTCACATCATGTCTCTTTTGCATTTATCATGACGAAAGATAAAAGAAATCGTTTTCGAAGTAGATTTTCTCATGGAATTTGTAAATGTTTTAATATATTTACATTGTGTTCACGACAATCAACATCATGTATTGGTGCAGATCCATCTTATGAGAATACATTTATTATATCAACTCCTGTCATAAAGCAATCAAATATGCATTTATCTCAAAGTCGAATAGATTATAATCATCTTAAATTGTCTTTCTATCCAACCACTTTTACTTCTATCGATCAAGTATGTTATGTATGTCGAGAATGTTTGGACTGTCTTTAGCCTTACACAAAAAAAAAATTGTCGACATTTATCTTGATCCGAGGCCAAGTTTTCTGGCATCTCAGTATATATATATGTATATATATACATTTTCTGTTTCTCTTTTTCGCTTCCACTTTATACAACACTATACTTTGTAGCTGTTCATATGCAACAGATGTAAAATGCTGTTTTGTAATCTCTCATCATTATGCACTTCTTCACTTTGTTAAAAGTTACTCTTAGCATTCGAGTAAAGAAAGAAAATCGTTACTAGGGTTTGTGTACATGAGTGTGTTCAAAATCAAGTCTTTTCTTTTTCTTTCTAATCATATACACTCGCATATGATGCACTATACCTGATCATATTTGATGAATGAAATGTAAGCAGTGTGTAGTATGAATGAGAGATATAAACTAAAAGCATATATATATATGATCATTCGAATCATGTCTATGGTAAGTATTTTAACAAGAAAAATGAAAGAGGAAAAAAGTGATCGAGTAGGTTTGTATTTATATATTTTATAGAAAAAATTGTCTCGTCATCTGATGCCACAAATCGTATTAGTCGATTCGGATTTTTGTACCGATAACAATAATATGATGCGTCATGTGGTTAATAACGATAATAGAGCAAGTGAACATGAATACAAAGGTAAGACAGAAAAAAAAGAAATACTGCATTGTTATTATTAGATATGTCAAAAAGAAGAACCAGTATCATCTTTTTCATCAATATCATCATCGCCCACTTCGGACTGTCATCTATCCTTGACAATTCATCAATGTTACTCCACCAGTACATTACCATCTGTGACTACGACTAATACAGACATGCTCAATAAAAGTACAAATAATATTATTGAAAAATCATCATTACCACAAACTCAAACATCATCACGTTTTTCTTATTTAATTCGACCATCAACACCATGTATATTTGGTCGAGAAAATTATGATGATGAGCAAATGAATGATGATGAATTTTTTTTAACTGCCGGTGGTATTGTTCATTCATGTCCAAATATTTATGAATTATCAATTGATAATAATCGAAAATTACAATCATGTGATCAGTTAATGTTTATTGATCAGAGAACAAAATTAAATAATAGTGATAATTTAAATTGTTATGATACAGAATTTGATCGTTATTCAATATTACCACGTTTTCATTCAAATTTATCATCAGTATCAACAGATTCAATTGATTCGGAACTGAAATTATATAAAGAAAGACATGCGATTGGATTTTCTCGTCCATGTCATGATAATATTTCAATTTATTCATCATTTTTACCAACAACATGGAGATCAGACAATTATCTTTTATTAATGCCACTTATACATCATCAACATTCTTCATTATTTAATTTAATTGGTCATGGAAAACGATCACGTTCATATGATATACCAGTAGGACAAACGTATTCATCTGTTATTGTATGAATTATTTGTTTATTTGTTTGTTTTTTCTTTTTATTCCCTGTGATATTTTAAATTTTATGAAATTGTTCTTGATGGAAATAAATCATTTTTCATCATTTCTGTTTATTTTCTCATTCGAGCCATATAATTGAATATGACATGACCATGAAGGAAAATTTAGACATTATGTTTACATCATTTATGCTAATTCAATGACATTAGCGTAAACCTTATCTATCAGATTGATATTTCTGAACAGTAGAAAAATGTGAAACAGAATATATTTGACCTTTAATTAATCATTTTGATTATATATCTAAATTTATCAAATAATAAATATACAAGTATATTGCCATTATTAGAGTTTTTCGTTTTCGTTGATAATTTATAAAAAGTTATAAAGCTTTAAAATCTATTCTTTTCGTCTGTATGAATATTGATCAATGATTTCATTTTGTATTACGAATGTATAAAGATCAATCTATAATTATGAGGTTAGATTAAAATCGTTAAAGAAGAACTCGTCTCTTTCTATATTGTTGTTTTTGATGTGTAGACATATTCTTTGTATAAACTGATGATGGATGTTATCATCAGATTAGCTGGTACAATCTTAAAAAGTCTATTCTTATATCTTCTATTGCAGTTTGTTGCTTGTTTTTTATGATCTTATTTTGCTTATCGAAAGTTTTATCGATGTGCTGACATATCCTGTTGAGTTTATATTGCATTGCTACATAATGAAAGAAAACATGGACTTCATCATTACCTCTTCATTAGGTCACCATATGGTACTTGCATGTATTTAGAATTATAATATATACATATATGAATAACATAGGCGAATGTTTATCTTCGAAAGTGTTTTCCGAAGATAACATTTATTGGTTTTTTTTTTGTTTAGAATTAATGAGTTTCAAAAATCAAATTTTATCTCACAAGAAAACCTCTTCACGTGTCAAACCGTGCTTTTCAACCGAGATAATGTTTATTTGATGAGTGTTAGGAAAGTCGAGAATAGTTAGGTTTTTTCTGGCCTTCGTTCTCGAGATAGATTTTTCAATAAAAAATTCTCTCATGTGTACAAGCAATTTTTGTTCATATATTTATATTTTCAGAAAGAAATCACTAGAAAAGCTAAAACTTACACAATGAACTAATCTCATTAAGAACTTTGTTCATGCAAATTTTCAAGGCGAAAGTCAATTTTCCACGTCATCTAAAGGGGACTACAGTATTTTGTTGAAAAATGCAGTAAAATTTCGATAGTTCAAGAATGCAGGTGTGGAAAACCAAACCATATTAGACTTTTCTATTACATGCCAGTACTTATTATATAAGCACAGTCGCAGTCAAAAAGCGATTTGATACCTGAAGAGATTTCCTTATCGTAATGTATTTCATTACTTTTGTATGGGTATAAAGAAAAAGTGCATTTATTGCTTTAAAGTTTTATTTGAATGTTTTTACATACATTAAAAAGAAAAAAACCATAAGAAAACAAATTTAATCTATTTGATATGGTATTACTTTATAAGGATTAAGAATACATTTTGGATCGAACATATTTTTCATTCGTTTCATTAATTCTAATGATTGTTTGCCTTTATTTAATTGAAGATATTTTGATTTATGTAAACCAAGACCATGTTCAGCTGATATAGAACCACGTTCTTTAGCAACCCATTCGTATAACCATGGTTCAAGTGCATGTTTTATTTCATCGGAATAACCATTTTTAACAGTTATATTTAAATGAAGATTTTGATCACCTAAATGTCCAAAACCTGTAACATTTCGAACATTTGAAAATTGTTTCATGCGTTTTTGTGTTTCTTCAACTAATTTATACATTCGAGATGGTGGTAAAGAAAAATCATATTTAAATACATAACCATCACTAACAAGTGCTTCGGGTACACGTTCACGTATAGACCATAAATCTTTATATTGTGTAAGATCTTGTGCGAGTGTACCATCTGTAATAAATTCTTTTTCTAATGCTGCATTAGCTAATTTTTCTAATGTTGTTTTTGCTTGTTCATCTGTTGAACTCATTGTTTCAACTAATATATAAAATTTATTTGGTTCAATTGGGTTATTTATTTTTTGTAAATTTTTTAATGATAAATTATATGTAGATTCATCTAAAAATTCAATTGCTGATAATGTTTCACCACATATTTTTCTTGCTAATCTCATTGTTGAAAGAATATTTTCAAATGATGAAGAAGAAAAAAATCCAAGTCCAACACCTGACATTGCTGATGGACATACTAATGCAACACGTGTTATTATACCTAAAATACCTTCAGAACCAATAAATGGTTGTTTAAGATCAATACCAGTATTATCTTTTCGTAATGATGTTAAACAATCAAGTATACTACCATCAGCTAAGACAATTTCTAAACCAAGTACAGCTGAACGAAGAGAACCAAAACGAACAACACGTATTCCACCAGCATTTGTTGCAACATTACCACCAATTAAACATGATCCTTTTGCACCTAAATCTAATGGCATTGTATGTCCAAGTTGAAGGACATGATTATTTAATGTTTCTAATATACAACCAGCATCAGCAATTAAAACTCCACTATTTTCATCAAAATCACCAATAGAATTAAGTGAACGTAATGAAAGTACAATTTCATCAAAAACAGGTACTGATCCTCCAGCAAGACTAGTATTTCCACTTTGTGGACAAACAGCTAATTGACGTTCATAACAATAACGAAGAATTGCTTGAACTTCATCAACAGTTTTAGGTCGAAGAATAAGTTGTGATTGTCCTTGACATGTTTTTATCCAATCTATATTATATGGTAAACAATCATCAGGATTTGTTATTGCACGTCCATCTGGAAGAAGTCTTTCAAAAAAACTTATATCTTTATCAGTTAATGTAGCATAATGAGGAGAACGACGTAATTTAGGATGACGTACACGAGTTAAAGGAGAAGTTGAAAGACGACGGACAATTTGAGACCACATTATGAATACTATTTAGTAACGGATATTTTATTATATTTTATCTTATCTAATCAACTAATCAGCTGATTCGTCTTTTCTATCGACCAACTCAAAGAACACAATTTACCCCTTTCCTCCGAAAGACAGCGACGTCTGTACAATTATTCTTTGCTTTGTTTTTCTCTATTGAAAAAAAAAAAAATTTCATAATCTCAATAGTTTATTAGATCATTTTTATAATATCAAATAAAATACAAAAGATCATATTATGTTTAAAACTTTTAATCAAGCTTGATTGACAAGTGGTATACATAAATCATTAGTACGAAACCAAGGTAATGTCCAAGGTGGATTATAACCGCCAACACGAATAGATGCTTGTTCATTAATTAATTGAATATGATCAACTTCAGTTGCTTTTCGAAGTTCTGTTTCTCTTGCAGTAACTCGTTTACTTGTTAAATTCATATTAAATTTAATACAAGCCAATAGTAATGGATCATTAATAGCAACAAGTTTTACATTAGTATCTATTGGTTTAGGTAATTGATCGAGTGTTGAAAATTGACTTGCTGGCATAATAAATGCCATACGTCGACGACCAGAGTCAGAATCTAATTGTTGCATAATGACAGGTATTGTCATTGGAATTTTTTGTTTTTTTTCATTTTTGCCTGTTATGTATTGAAAAAGTGGTCGAAATCCAATGGATAATTTATCACCAAAATCAGTTGATGCCTCAACAGTATAATCAACTTGTGCCCATAATTGTGAACGATAACGACGTACTTCATATTTAGAACCTTTACTAACAATATCAAATGGTGGTGTTTCACTATTGATTGTACCAAATAATTGTGATAAAGGGTTAGCCAGTGCTAGATGAAAACTAGCTATCGCCAAGAAAGATATAACAACTATCATAGAATGCATATCTGTTCTGTTTGTGAATAGAATGATATTCGTCTGTACGTTTGCACGTTGCTTATGTACTCTTTGGTAAATGTTCGAGACAATAACAAAGAAGAGAGAAATAAAAGAAGGAAAATAAAACGATTATGCAACCCAGTTATATTTAGTACATAGAAGTCTAGTGTTTCAAATAAAGAAGTTTTTTTTAATCTGCGACAAATATTTCAAAAAAATTTCGAAAGTATTTACTATTATTTCTAATCTCATCCAAAAATTTCTCATCAGATATATTTTTAGTTCATTAATAATTTTTTACAGAATTAAATTTTCTCAAGAGATAGAGGGTACTAGTCAACAAAGTTTTAAAAATATATATATTCTACAAAGTTATCTCCATTGGCTTTTACGAATGATCCTATCGTTGTACAGATAGAACAGAAAAGAAAAACGAATTGTCAGATTAACTTTAAATATAAAAATTCATTGCGCCAATTTTTTTTTAATTATGAAAAAACTATATTCACTTCAATTTGAATTGGAGTTATACTAATAATACAATTTACATAGTACAATAATATCTTTTTAATTCGTATGTTAATAGATTTTTTTCTTTTTTTAATATTCAATTTCATTTTCAGATAAATGAAGAAAGTAACTGATAATTCAACAAGATCTAAAAATCAAACAACTCTTGGACAATATTGGGCATCAACTGGATCTAAAGTGTTAGAACCTAATACTAAACATGAACAACAAATGGTTCAAGAAGATGATGATATTGAATTACTAGCTGCTGTGGAACAATTTGAAAAAAATAATACTCTTCCTCGTTCAATAACTACTACGACTACGACTACCACAACCACTACAACAAAAACAACAACAACAGCAGCGTCCACATCAAAATGGCCAATATCTCATAAACCAGAACAAAATCCAAAACAAACATATCAAGCATCAATAACAGCACCTCCAAATGATAATGAACAAATGCATACATATCCGGATTTTGATCGACAATCAGGTCGTGTATGGATTTATCCAACAAATTATGAAAAACGTGATTATCAATATAAAATAGTTAGTATAGCATTATTTCAAAATACACTTGTTGTTTTACCAACTGGCCTTGGAAAAACATTTATAGCTGCTGTTGTTATGTTTAATTATTGTCGTTGGTATCCAACAGGTAAAATTATATTTACAGCTCCAACTAAACCATTAGTTGCTCAACAAATGGATGCTTGTGCTAAAGTAATGGGTATAAGAAAAAGTGAAATGTGTGAAATGACTGGTGGTGTTAGTCCAGAGGAACGAAAAAGACTTTGGTTAGAAAAACGTGTCTTTTTTTTAACACCACAAACATTAAATAATGATCTTGTTAAATCAACTTGTCCATGGTCTAAAATTCGTTGTTTAATTGTTGATGAAGCTCATAGAGCACTTGGTCAACATGCTTATTGTCAAGTAGAAATTACTATTTCATTTATTTTCTTCTTTATTTATGATTTTCCTTTTTCTTGAGTTAGGTTGTTCAAGAATTATGTAAAAATGGTGAAGAATTTCGTGTTCTGGGACTTAGTGCAACACCAGGAAATAATGTTGAAGTAAAACAAAAACAAAAACAAAATTGATTTTCTTTTTCAATTTGATTTATTTTTTTCTTTATAAATAGGCTGTACAAAATGTTATTAATAATCTTAAAATATCTCATATTGAAATGCTTACAGATGATTCACCTGATATAAAAAAATATAGTTTTGATAAAATAATTGATAAAATTGTTGTTGGACCAAATCAATTAATGCAAAATTTGCGACAATGTATTTTAAATATACTTAGACCACCGGTTGAAACACTTCATCGATTAGGAATTTTATATCAAAAAAGTCCAGAATATATTACAAGTGGTTCGATTATTTTGACTATGAAAAGAGTGGCAAAAGATAAACCAGCTAATTTAAATGTATGTAAACAATAACTTTTATAAAACTATTCGACTAGAATTATTTTCAACTTTTTTCTCGCTTTCATAAATGCTAAGAAAACTTCAAATATTAATTTTCATAGAGAATTTTATTTTCAACAAGAGCTTTCGAAAATGAAAATCATTGCTACTATTCCAAGAATAGAATCCCTGAAAAAATCAAAATCAAGTTTTTCATACCCTAGAATTTACAATTAGCATTTTAATTGAATTGCCCAAAATTATAGAGCCAACAATTCTCTATAAAATAACGAGGAGAAACTAGCAGACTTCAAGATTAAAATCTTCGCTATTTCCGCTCTCGAAGATATTCTTTAACCGAGATACATTATTTTTGTGGAAGATACGAAAATGGTATTTCTATACGAAATAATAGATGAAACGACTTTTGTTCCTTTCATATATATCTCGATCAGAAAACGTTGTAGAGAGCTGGAAGATATAGAAAATTGTTTGTTCAATTATTCTGAGTAATGCAAACAGAATTCTATGAGTTGAAAAAAATTGATTTTGAGTTTTTCAGAAACTCTATATTTGAGAAAGTAGTGATGATCTTGTTGGAAATAAAATTCTCTATTCAAATCATTATCTGAATTTTTCTTGGCGTCTATAAAAGTGGAAAAAATTGAAAATAAACTGGGTTAAATAATTCTTGGAATTACTGTATATCTTCATTGAAAAAATTCGAGAGAAGAATATCGGATAATCGAATTTTTAATTTATAACGTATTAGAGATAGTATACATGATTATCCAGGTATATTCAACTTGTTTCAAGATACTTGTTGTATTTATTAAATATAAATGAATGAAAACTTCACCTAACACAGAGATAATAAGTGAAGCAGTTCTACCAAGACTGACTTCATACAGAAACTTAGATGTAAAATTGTCTCAGAATTTTTGCTTAAAATAATCCATGGAACATTTGCTTGTAAGAGTATCGAACAGATATAGAAAAAAAAGAATCGACTTCTAATCATCAGTACATTTAGATATACATATTCATAAAGATGTGTTTTTAATTAATAAACTTAATCAAATAAAAAGTTACTAACGTTTAAATTGAATGTTAGAATCAAGTTGATGAATTTATTAATGGAAAATTGGAAAAAACAGACATGTTAACTTAGTTTTGCCTGTTTAATAGAATTTGTCGGATCTTGGTCTAAAAATTTTGAACCCTACGAGCTCTACTAGTCAACCATCTCTCATATAATAGCTGATTTGAAAATCGAACTAATTCCATCTTAGTTATTTTTTCTTATAATTACTTATGAATTTTTAGTTTATAAACGATATATTTCCATTGATAGTTTGATTTGTTCAATTTTTCATCTATTAAAACTTTATTAATCATTTAATATGAATAATTGATAAATAAAGTTTGTATTTTTTTTTAGGATAAACAATATCAAGAAGCTAAATGTGCACTTTTCTTTGCTATATCATTTTATCATGCTCTTGATGAATTAGAAAAACATGGTTTACAATCTGTATATAATTTCTTTAAAAAAAAATTAACTGAAGATAAAAGAAATAGTTCTTTACATTTAACATTTCGAAATAATACTGAATTAAGTAAAATTTATACTGAATTACAAAATTTATTTGATTTATCACAAGTTAGTGCAGAACAACGATGTAAAACAAGTCTTCTAATAGCTCATCCTAAATTATCAAAATTACGTGAATGTGTTGTTGAACATTTTCAAACATTTGAACGTACAAAAACAAAAGCAACTGATCAAACAAGAGTTATTATATTTAGTGAAAAACGTGATAGTGTTAGAGAAATAACAGAACTTCTTGAACAAGATCGACCATTAATTAAACCAATGTCATTTATTGGACAAGCAGCATCTCATGCTGGAGGTAAGTTAGATTTTCCAAGAAATGTTTCGAGATTGTCAGGATTAGAAGTTGATTAGAAGATTTTTGTTAAAATTGATCGGGTCTTGAAGTTGAAGGTTAAGCAATTTTTTTGGAAATTGATAAGTTAAACAATAATAAAACGCTGGAATTCCGCTAGATGGGTAAGCATCGAATCCAAACTTTGGCTCGGTATTTGGGATAAATAGTTCGGAAAGTGTCGAGTATTTGAATAATTGTTCAAACATTTCTTGAAGTATATGGACAATCATGGAAGTGGATCTACGACAGTTGCTCACTAAGACACTTTCTCACATGTGTGTGAGTGCAGGTATAAATATGAATAAAGAAAAGACCCAAACCAACACCCACATCTCAACGAACAATTGTTCATCTCCACATGAAAGTACTCTAAGGTTCCGTTGAGTTCAGGCTCGAGTATTTCTGAACATTGTTGACTTTTGTTTTAGTATGTCTGTAGGTCTTCTGCTTTTGAATCATTTATTCTAATGTTTATAAATTCATCGTAGCCAAGTCTGAAATCCTTTCTTTTGGTTTATTCCTATTTCCTTTTAATAAATAACTGAAAGTGATCGCAATCAAGACCGAATCTGAATCCGTACGTTCGGATTCAATGCATACCTACCACTGGAGAAAAACGAAAATTTTTCAAGACTGAAAGATTATCTTTAATATTTTCATATATATATATTCTATAAACGAACGATTATATTTAGAGGGTATTAATCAAAAATTACAGAAAAAAGTTGTGAGTGATTTTCGTGCTGGTGGTTATAATGTACTTGTTGCAACATCAATTGGTGAAGAAGGTTTAGATATTGGTAGTGTTGATTTAATTATTTGTTTTGATGCACTTAAATCACCTATTCGACTTGTTCAACGTATGGGTCGAACAGGACGTGCTCGACAAGGTCGAATTGTTCTTCTTATGACTGAGTTTGTTTATTTATTATTTTTATTCTTTAATTTAATTTAATTTTTGTTTTTGGTTTATTTAGAGGTAAAGAAGAACGAACATATTATGAAGGTGAAATACAACAAAAACGTATATTTAAATTAATTGTTGATGGTTCACGTATGTTACAATTATATCGTAATAATCTTCGAATGATTCCACATGATATTCAACCAATATGTCAAGA